TTTATGGACTTAGAAAAGATAACATTTACTGTCCGAGGTTCTGAAAATAGATTTTATAAAGCTCGGCGCCCTTTCTTAACTGTTTATGAGAAATCCTCTACTATTGTCTCTGAGTAGCTCCCCTCCTCCACCCCCCTTTTTATTATTTATTTATTTATTTTATGTGGATAATATATTTTATGGTCAGGGGGATCTAAAATCACATTATATTTATATTTTTTTGTATTTATTTTTATTTACTTTGCTCAAATGTTGTTTATTTTACTTTAGATATATGTGGGTATGTCTTCTGTCTGGGGATTTGTTTTTGGGTTAAAATCTGTTAAGGCTTGATTGTTATGCATGGTTTTGTACCATATTTGTCAATATACAGCTAATAATCAATACAAAGATATTAAATGAGAAAACCATTAAAAAAAAACAAAAAAACATGAGAGCTGCAGCAGCCGGTGCTGGAAGGAGGCGGGGTGGCCCAAAATGCAGCAGAAGCGCAGAAGTCTCTCTGCAAGTAAAGCAGGAGATGACCAGATATTTTGCTTGTGCCCTCACTGCCCTGGGCCCCATAGAGATCTTGGCCCCCTGGGCACTTGCCCAGTTGCCCATATGGTTAATCTGGCCTTGGGCCTGGGAACACCTTGGAGTACATCCAGAAGAGCTGGAAGAGGTGGCTGTGGAAAGAAATGTCTGGACCTCCCTGCTCAAGATGCTGCCCCTGCTACCCAAACTCAGAATAAGCAGAAGATAATGGATGGATGGATGGATGGATGGATTGATGGATGGATGGATGGATGGATGGATGGATGGAAGATGCAGATATGTCCTAAATGTGTGATTCTCCTTTGTGAACAATTAAAAATTACATCACACAATCAGAAAAATAGGGACTTTATTGGACTGTGGGTCAGAGATGCTACCAAATAAGTAGAGTGGAGTAAGAGGGGTGCACGTTTGTCACACGTGCAAAGAGAAGTGGTTGTGTGTGAAGCTGTAGATCAATGAAGGGTTTCAACTACCATACAGGGGATTTTGATATATCTGGGCCTCATAGAGACGAGGCTGTTCCATACAGCTGACATGGCATGGCTCAGGGACAACTAACCAATCAGTATTTGGTGGGGTGATCCCCAGAAACATGCTCCCTCTCAGTTCTTCTATTGGTGATGTCCTCCTGCAGCTCCACACCAGCTGCCACAATTTTGCAAACTTAATGCAGCTATTTATGGACATACAGAATGTAATTGTCTATAGGTCGACCTGACAGACCATTATACCTGAGCTGTTCAAAATAAATGTGCTGATCCAACAGTTTTATTCTCAGTGAGAATGGAAGTGGCCTTTTCGTGAATCACATCTATTTCATGTGCCTCATCTGTTGCTGCTCCTTGTGGACACACGTTTACATCTACAAAGTATATGTGACAAAACTTTAAATAGAACTGAGGTCGTTTCGATCATTTTTGAGGCGTGTTTGTTCAATGTGGTTCCATTTCATTGTCCGAATTTATGCCATAAATGCTCAAACACATGAAAGAACTAATGCCCCTTTTCCGTTAGTACCTGTAGTACCGGTACAGCACGGCTCTACTCTTCTCGGTACCGTACAGGTTGTGTTTCCATTATACTTTCAGTACCGGTTCCAGTGGGCGGGGTTCAAATTGACATCACCACCTCTTACCAGGTGGTGGCGCTGAGACGCTGAAACTGTTTTCAGTACAGGGTGAGAATTTATGTTATTTTCAAGTTGTGTGTATGTATGTGTGTATGTATATATGTGTGTGTATATATATATATATATATATATATATATATATATATATATATATACATGC